GGTTTTCCCTTGATATACGGCCCACCGGAGCTGTGTTCTCCCATGATCGTCGGCCAAATTCGGGTCAACATCGGCTCTTTCCAATAAGAGCTGTACTTCTCCTGTTCTCCCCAGTATTGTGGCCCAGGCGAGCGGTGTTCGCCCAACAGGACCGGCCAAATTGGGATCAACATCGGCCCTTTCCAAGAGGAGCTGAACTGCTTCGGATCTTCCGTTTTCGGTGGCCCACAAGAGCGGTGTTCGCCCACGATCGTCGGCATAATTGGGATCAACATCAGTTCTCGCCATGAAGAGCTGTACTGCCCCTGCGCACCCAAATGCTGCGGCCCGCCAGAGCGGTGTTCGGCCATATTTATTAGCCAAATTGGGATCAACATCGGTTCGTCCTACTAGAAACCTCGTAAGATCGGCGGAAATGAACCCGCAAGCCCACCCAAGCGTTGCTTGACCATTTTTGTCATGCAGAACGGGATCAACATCAGTTCGTTTTGAGAGTAGTGGCACTACCCCATAGCTCCCCTTTTCTACAGTCCACCAGATCGGTGTTTGACCATCCTTGTCTCTGCAATGAGGTTCGGAACTCTCACATTCCAGAAGCAACGGTACCATATCCTTGTTACGACCTTGAGGAACCTGCGAGAGTGGCATTCGCCCATTTTCGTCCCTGCAATCAGGGTTAACCTCTTTGCGACACGGCAAGTATTCGGCACGGCGGATATTCCCGCAGCTAGTGGCCCGGGAGAGGAGTGTTCGGCCATTGCAATCGGGTAAATCGGGACTGGAACCGGCTTCCTCTAACTGCGATATGCAAGATTCTCCGCGCCAGTGCTCGGTTGCCCACGAAATTGGCGTCAGCCTATTGTGACCGCTAGTCACCGGATTGACCTGTGCCCGTTTCATTAGCATCTTCACGATGCCCCGGTTCCCGTACTGGGCTGCCCACGAGTATAGTATTCGGCCTCCTTTGTCTACCAGCTCCGGAATGATCTCACGATGCGCGAGCGCTAATTTGATTAGTTTCTCGTACCCATTGCCGGCCGCCCAAGATTGCAGTGTTCTGCCGTATCGGATATCCGTCGCATTGGGGTTGACCTCCTTCCGCTTGACTAGCAACATCACTACGCCCTCAAGCCCTCCACCAGCTGCCCACCAGAGTGGTGTTCCATCGTTGGTGTCTGCGGTGTCCTTTTTGGCCCTTTTCTTCTGCAGTAAAATCCTTACTACCCCCTCATGCCCATTTCCGGCCGCATATATGAGCCGTGTCTGGCCGAGGTTGTCCACCCAATCGATATCCACATCCTTTCCTAAAAAAGACTTTATTATATCCTCTTTCCCGCTCTGCGCCGCCCAAAGAAGTGGCGTTCGGCCGTTGTTATCCACAATGCGGGAAGTGGTCGAGTCGCTTTTCATGAGTAATCGTGCTATCCACTGGCCGCCATTCCTTGCGGCCCACGAGAGTGCTGTTCGGCCTTCATTGTCTTTCCCCTCGGCGCTCGCTCCTCTTAGACCCAATAACATATCCACCACCTGGAAGGTTCCACTCATAGTAGCCCATGTTAATCGTATGCGGCCGGCGAAATCCCTTCCGTTTCTATCCCCATCTTTGACCTTCAGTAACGGGGTTGCGATCTCTCTAATTCCCAAGAATAGTATAGCGTGCAGTCCGGTATTACTCGCGTATCGGGCCTCATATCCGTCCCAAAACAATCTCTTCTCACAGTATATCTTTGAAAGGAGCAACCTAGCCGATATATCGGTATCAAATTGATCGCGAAGTTTGGCCGCAAATGAGTTTCCCGCACTTGTGGTGTTCGTTCGGGCGTGGGTCCTCCAGTCATGAGATGCGTATTCAAGAAATGGAGTTTTCATCATATCTCCGGAGGTGGTGGCCGATAGGTCCTTGATGGACCAGAGGCCGAGATAGGTCAAACACACTTCTGCGATGGTTCCATCAGGACTCCAGAAAATGGTCGAATGTTCGCATAAATACGCCAGGAAGGTAAAGCGTTTCAGTCGCACAGCCGAAGCTTCGCTGTCAAAAGCGATAAGCCTTGGGCAGCAGCCTAATATGGTCTGAATCGATGGAGCTTCATCGGGATTATGATGGATAGACCCGGTTTCCACTACCAGGGCATGGGAAAACTCATCGACTCGTACCGGCCGCTCGGATCGAGGAACCCGGATCAATGTTCGCACGGCAAGTTTCGACTGATTCTCACCCTGCTCCTCTACCCGTTTCAGGGTGTCGGCGTAAGCAGCTTCTAGCCCAAGGCCTCTAGCCACCTGTCTGGGCCTCTCTTTCCTTGCGTCTATTGTAGTCCCTCCCAATATCGCCGTAATATTCAATGAAACCAGCAGAGATCTAGCAACCGTTAGTGCCCCAGTACCGCTCATTCAAGAGAGCTTCATCTACGTACATCTCCGATATCGTTTCCGGAATCACTTTCATGATATCCCGCTTGAGTTCGCAGGCCATCTCCTCAAGAAGGGTATCGTCCCGCAATCGCATCCCCAGAGAACGTGTGATATCCTCCTGCCCCGGCTTGAACGGTATGATATGCAGAGCGCAGCTGTCGTGTTCCTCGAGCTCAGCCTGAATATGAGGCCTCCCAGTAACAAATAGCCGAATATTTAGCGAATCCCTAGCTATAGAGCGTAGCGAGTGAAACTCTCCGGGCCGATACTCTGTCGCGTATTCGTCTAGGGCATGGGTACAAATAAAAGTCCGTTTCTGGGACTCGAGGGCCGCCCGCACCAGCTTGAGTAATTCGGCAACCGTGAGACCTCGACCATCTTGACCTTGCTTCGCCTTCTAAAACCCATCATCAATCTCCGCAGGAATACCTTCTAGCCCGCACACTACCTGCTTGAGAAGACTATCCGGCATCTGCACCGTGACTTGCAATTTTTGGGTCTGGAACTTGCGATAAATACCAACCACAGATACACTGCTTCTATCGGCCCCACCGCACGGGCTATCGATCACCACGAAGCTGATATTATTGTTAGCGAGACATCTCCCAAGAATTCGCTCTCCCTTACCCGAGATTGGTCCCCCCCACACCAAGTCCTCCACAACACAACTGAGTCTGATCGACAGACCTACCCGCGCAATCCGGCCACTCCAAAAGTTCGTCGACTCGTAAAAGCCATTCTCCAATCCCACTGGCTCTGCTGTGCCGGAGGTCTTGGTGTCTTTTGTCTTGCTGGTTCCCATCCGACTCCAGCAAAGATAACCGCTCTAGGATCTCCCTCTTCCTATCCAATGCCGATACCATAGGGCAGCTATTCCACGTGTTTTTGAAGCCAGTGTCCACATTTCCACCGTCAATACTTCCGATTCCGCTAGAATTTTCGTACGTTGTATCGCCCATGATGCTGGAAGTCATTTTTGTATCGTAAGGTTGGTACCTGATGCGGCGAGGATGATGGGTTTCTGAAGGCCAGCAATAACTCGAGTAGATTTTAACAAAGTTCGGGGAAAGGGGGGGTTGTCGCACGGTGGAAGATTGAAGAATCACCGGCAAGGCCATGATGTCGAAAGTCCAGTACTCCTAAAAAGGGCTAACACAGCGAGATGCAGGGCACTCAGCCTCGCTGATAGATATAAAAAACAAATAAACACCCGTAGCCAGTTAACGCTTGATCTATTTACCTGTACGGTATTCGAGTACCTACATGTCGACGACATTGCGCACGATTTATGATATTACAGACAACCCAATCACTTCTGTGCCACCCGAAGCCGGAGCCTGCTCGAGTACTCGAGTGCTGTGCTGTACTTGTGTCTGGAGTTAACTTAAACTAATCCAAGACAATGATGTTGTGCTACCGAACAGGAGAGTATCAGCCTCAAACCGCTTCCCGATTTCCCCACTTCCCCGCGATCGAACTACACTTCCCAAGGCCACCACTATTGCATTGCGATCGCGGGGGGATTCCTGCATTTTGGCGGTATGTAATAGCAGTTTGCTGTCTGCAAAATTCCTCCAATTACGAGTGTCCAGCCACCCATGTTGGGACTACTTCATCCTTTGTTTGAAATATCAAGATCCCCAAGTGTTTTTGAAATAATCAAGTATGATATTAACGTATTCCACACCATAGCGAGCGCCCGGGATAGCGAGCCTTCTGCAAGTCCGGGCAACATGATTGGTTGAACGCCGGTTGAGATTGGAATAGTGGCTGGTGTTTGGGTGGATGGCTCGCTATAGTGTGGAATACGTTAGACTGCATACCACAATCGAGACACCCAGCGCAGGGGAAAACCCCCCCAACTCCCATCCCCCGATCACAAACACCTAGATATCAGAAGCTGGAGAGCTCCATTCCGTCTCCCTCTCCACATGATATGATAGTGAGAGAAAAACTATTACTCACCCATCAGCAGACATTAGATCATTATCCCCGCGGTTAAAATAACACCTTTCGTTCAAAATCTTCGATCTGCATGAGGAAAGTATAATCCCGTACTCGTAGCTGAAGGACCCGACACCACTTGCTCGCCAACGAACAAGAACCTGAACTATGAGAGCTAATAACCCCAAGCATCTCTCTCAAGCATTTCTGCCCGGGTAAGGATCTCCGAGGCTGACAACTTTCGACTTGGAAACCTCACCGGGTAATCCCTTCCCGTTTTTTTGGTATCGTAAAGCAAGAGTGAGTATTATGCGCCTGCTACCCTACCAACCACAACACAACAGCCAATCACCAGGACACTATCGAGAGAGAACGTAGTGGAAACTAGAGGAGAAGCGTGCTCATGGCAGTGAGGCTCTTTAGCCCCCAAGTTCGCTTACGCCATACACTACCACGCCGCACAGCCCCCCCACCCCCCGATCCCTCTTGAAGAAGGTTTACGTGTAATTACTGCACTGTACTACCCCCACAGCACCGCCCTTATACCGGCGTCTACTCGATTACGGCGGCAGCACCGGACCATTTTATCGTGCTGTCTGCTTCGGTTTCGTGGTTTGAAATTATATCGTCCACCTGTGGAGGACTTGTACTGCGCCGTACGGGTATTTTTTGATGAACATTCCCCAGTAAGAATTGCATCGCGCTAACCCGGTTTCCGCACAATACTGTGTGGGGGCAGGGGGTAGAGGTATCACAGTGGGTAGGCGGTCTTGATAGGCGCTCCCCGATGGCAACACCGAGTATCGGTGCCGGCAACTAAGCTTTAGGAATACCCGGGGGATTAGAAATTCGTCTACCATACCGGTAATAAAACCAATCAGTATTCATTTAGTTTTTGGAAGTTTGGCGCTACCGCTGTCACCACCGGTACGAGAGGCAGTAGAGGGTTAGGGATTTATCTGATCGGTTGGAATCCACATCTCCCGCGGCTTCTACACTACATCTAACTCTCGCGCCGTACTGTACGAGTACTAAATTTATAAACAATGATAAATTTACTATGATACTCATACACATTTTATTTTCATTCAAACCATCCCCCCCCCCCCGCCCAAACTCCTCCACAACAACCACGAAAAAGCACCAAAATGTATCTAATTCTTAGAAGCTGCATGTCGCAAATGTGTGACCGCACCTAATCTTGAAGAAAGAAAAGCCCCCGATCCACGTGAAAAAAACCATGATAATAGTATCGTGATAATAGGGGCTGGTGTACGGTACCCACACCCCACTACCCCAGATATTCTAACCCCACACTCCTTACAATATCAAACAACCCGGTCTTTAAATTAGAAAGACGGAGCCAAAGCCGGAATGATTCAACCACATGGTAGGCATTGGGCCCGCCGCCCCCTGCCGAGGGCCCCGCATAAATTTCCTCCTTAACACTCCCGTTAGAATGCTGGAAGCCCGATTCCTCAGTGCCTTTGTTTCCCCGAATCCGGGGGGAAATCCTCCAACTCCCGGCGTGAGGTCCAATTAGTATTACCCTTTTCTTTTCCTTTTTTAATGCTATTTCAAGATAAATAAAGATTTTCCCCTGCGCCCCCGAATATTGTACTTTTCACCTCTCAAGGAGACCGGGAGCTGTAGAAACAACAACTGGCTGCTTAACCGCGGCAGAGTCCGCTCTCATTCTCCTTTCTTCCATCCTTTATCCCTAGCCTAGCACCTCTTCATGCTTTAGCATAGATTTTCTAATACTTACCAAGGCAGCCAGCTCTGCCGGCCGATCGTCCGCAGGGGTGTGGGGAGAATCACGCATAAATTTGAAATTCCTTATATCCAGTTCAGAGAGCGCAATTTGGTAAGGCCAGATAATTGAGGGTCGTCAAGCACCCCCCTACTCCCATTGGCGGCATGATCCGATAGGATATCGTGGGCTACCCCCGAAAAGCACAATACGACAATATTACGGGACGAGATCCAATATAATGACATGTTAGGGTTTTAGGGTTATCACTGGAAGGGTGGCCAAGGGTCGGCTTTCGGGCTAACGATGCGACGACACATATCATACAAGCATGATAGGGAAGGGTAGGTTTGGTCAACCCGAATCTCCACAGTCCAAAATCATATCCGACACATACCGCACAACACATAACGAAAACGGGATCGCGCAAAGGAGGCGGGGGGCATATATTGTGAGGAACCTGGTGTGCTTTTACAATAATTTGAATAGGGAGGACCACCGATCGAGGGCGAAGAAAGAAACGCGGTAGGATAGAAAACAAAATATATCATAGAAGTGAGCCAATGAAGAGGAATAACTAGAAACAATAAAGAGATGGCTAGAGATGGGGGGGGGGGGGTAAGCGGGATGAAAGGAAAAGAGGATAAGACTGAGGTCCACTATTTTCCTCCAGAACCACGAATCCCACGATTAGGATCAGTGACAGGAGATCATGACCTAGTCGTTACTGTCCGCCACCACACCCTTCTCCAGTCAA